TGTCCAATAATGAGTATTTCCAATTTCTGATTCAATGCAGCAAGCATTATTGCACTTATGCAAATAACCCTTCTGCCACAAAATAAGAATGCTCCCAAATATTTTCCAATTCCAAAGGGGTCAGGAAGGAAGAAAAATTTATGTTTCCATTTAAATAAATAAACAAGAAAAACATTTTAACAAATTGCTGAACTTATCAACAACTCAAAAGAGTGTAAAATGCTTAAGCTGGGCAAACAAAGCATAGTAAAAAAAAAAAAGCAATAATGTTTCACTTGAAAGTCATAAAATTCTATTTCACCAGTTCAGTCTTATGTTCAAACTCTCTCCTGTTGAATATGCAGTGTTACTGTGGTCCAGTCTTTCTGTTTAAATCCTGGAAGGTAACATTCAACATTATTATTGATATTTCTTGTCCCTAGCATTAAATTGGTCATTTTCTTGGTTGCCTTTTGTTCTTTTATTTCTGTACATGGCATATGTCTTTAGTTTTCCTGGTAGAGCATTCTTTTCAGAACTTCTTGGAGTGAGTCTGCTATTGACAAATTCTTTCAGATCTTGTTTATCCTTTCTTTCAATATGAAAGATAATCTTGCAAAAAAAAAAAAAAAAAACAGAAAGCAGAAAGAAAAAGAAAAGATAATGTTACCGGGTATAGTATTCTTGGTTGAGACTTTTCCACTTAACACTTTGAAGATATTTTCCCATTCTTTTCTTGCTTGCAATATTTTTGATGAGAGGTTTGAGGTTAGCCTGATTGGATAACCTTTATAGGTAACCTGATGTTTCTCTCTTGCCAATTTTAGTATCTTGTCTTTGTAGATTTGACCAGTCTGGCTATGATGTGCCTTGGAGAAGATCTTTTTGGGTTGATTTTATTAAGGGTCCTTTGTATTTGTTGAGACTGGATATTTGAGTGCCTCTCTAGATTTGGAAAGTTTTTTTTTTCCAGGATTTCATGGAATAGATTATCAATGTCCTATTAGTTTCCTCATCTTCTGGGATACCGATTATCCAAATGTTTGGGTGCTTAATGCTGTCTAGTATTTCTCGTATAGTATGCTCATTTGGGGGGGTTATTTTCTCAGTGTTTTTGGCTGTTTTTTCTGATCAGAGGTTTTGCCTTCAACATCCGAGATTCTATTTTCTGGGTGGACTAATCTGCTTTTAATACGTTCAAGGGACATTTTGATTTCCTGAATGGCAGCCTTTATTTCTAATAGCTCCATTTGAAACTTTTTTTTATGTATTTCCTTTTTCAGATCATGGAAGAACTTCAACACTTTCTGGAACTTGTCTCTTTTCTCCTGCATCTTCTGGAGTTCATTATCTCTCAGTTCTTGCATCTCTTTTAGTTTTGTCACTATGAATATTCTGAATTCTCTATCAGACATTTCCACGAGTTCTACTGTATTGGCTGAGGATGATGAGGGATTGTCCTTTTCACTTAGGGGAGAGATTTCTTGGTTTCTCGTGTTTCTTGTACCTCTGTGGTGATTTCTGGTCATTCTGTGACAAAATCTCGCCTCCACTGTGTTTGTCTGAAAATTTCAGGAGTCTTAAAAGATGGAGTTTAGAGCATAGCTTCCCTGAACAGGCCAGAACACACCTCAGCACTTTTTAAAAGAGGTTTTTGCTATAGGGAACGTGAGCTCGCCAGAAAGACAGAGAGAGACAGAGAGACAGAAAGTGAGAAATCACCCCCAGGGTGATGGACATGCTGTAATCCCTTCTCCTCCATTCTCCTCCATTCTCCTCTCGGGATCTTGGGCATACATGCACACGCACCTGGCATGAGTTTAAGCCACCCGGTCTGGGACTCGAACCACTGTCAACTATATGGGAATCTAGCTTCAAACACGAGGGTTTGTGTTAGGGATTTTTATATCATGCATTAACATGGTTGCCCAGGTTTAAGCTGGAATGGGGTTGCTTAAGGATTCTTCTTAGTAATTTGCCAGACAGCCCACTGACTGAACTAATTTGTGACCACCAGTTGATGGAAAGGCAAGCTCCACAGAGGCTACTAAGACTTAGGGGAGGGAGGTCTTGCCTACCTGGGACCCACATCTCCCGCATTACTCCTGTCTGGCAAAGCTCTGTGAGTCACTTAGCTGTCATTTCAGAGAACCTCAGAGCTCAATACAACTACATCAGGGCCCTCTGGACACATTAAAATGCTCCAATCCAATTATATGTACTGTAGTAGAAAAATGAAGCCAAAACTCTGCATTTCATGAAAAAGCTGTTTCCCCGATGAAAACCAACCACTTCATTTGGGTAAGAAAGAGCTAGACCCATCTTCTTTGAGATAAAAGTGTCTGAGTGGATCTGGAAGACTATACCTTATTACCTTATTGTGCACTTTGTACTTTATGGAAGACTTCCAGGATTATTAAGGGTAACATGCAGGGGCTTTACATTATGTGCTCCTTGGTATATGATGCTCTGCTAGGACTTCCCTGTAGCTTATGATTAAGGAAGCCAGATGGCTGAGGTTCAAATTCCAGCCCTGGCAGCTTGGAAAAGTCAGACTGGATGGAAGAATAGAGGGAAAAAGATGTGCTGTGACCATCTCTGTTTCTCTGACTCTTTCTGGTGAGTACACGTGTTTCCCAGCAAATAAAAAAGATGCTGTTCTATTCTGAACTCTTTTTAAAAATTATTTTATTTGATCTTCAGCTTATATGGGCAAACTGGGCAACTCATGGTATCCCATTTTGCAATGGGGTCACTGAAAGACAGAGCTATTGAGAGGGACAGAACCAAGGTGAATGCAACTATCCTTTGATTGCACATGCAAAGGGGTGGATATCAGTAATGTCCTATGATTTGGAGCTGTAAGGGCTCACACAGATCTCTGCGCTTGCTGTCCTTCTCAGCAGCCAAACCTGGCTGCACAGCTGAACCAACCACAGGGCTCCTATAAACACCAGAGCCTCAGACTGGACATGTATGTTTTCAAAAAGTTCATTTGTGAATCTCTGCATTCGAGTCCCTGGATTAAACTAGATTGGATTAAACCAGGTTGAAGAGGCAAGGAATCCTGGGTTCAGATTCTGAGGGCATCATGTTCTGTTTTTCTTTTTAAAAGATACTTATTTAATTTTATTTATTATTATTGTTATTTTCACTGTGATGAGAGAGAGAGAGAGAAAGTGAGAAAGCAAGCTGCCAGGTCTGAGAGTCAAACTGCTTTTGGTCATGTGGGAGTCCAGCAACTTAACCACCATTCCACTTGCTGGCCCTGAGTTTGTCATTTTCTAATGCACAACCTGAGGCAAGCTATAAATTGTCTCAAGGGTTGAGAAATATAAGTACATATCTAGCATAGTACCTGGCTTAACAATAAGTCCTGGGTAAGAGTTAGTGCTTGCTTCTATGAGCTATTACCTTGGACTGAAGTTCAGAGAAGTTGAGTAAGTCAACTAAGGTCACACAGCAAGTTAAAAGGCCCAGGTCTGTCTGGCCTTATAGCCAGTGTTATAATGACTATACTTGACACTCACAAAATGTTCCCTCCAAGAATGGGGCCCTTGATATTTTCTAATGGTTCCCCTCCCAAGGCCTGTGAGGCTCAGAACTGAGCTGAGGAGGCAGAGTAGGGAGGCACAAGGGGCCTGCATTAGGCATGTCCTTTGCCTGGGGGATTTCCTTCCAGCTGGAAAGGCCCCCTGCAGCCTCTAGTATGTGCACTGTCCCCTCCCAAACTTCTGGCTGGAGCTGCCACTGCCTACACTTCTTCACTTTCAGTTTGCCCCTTTAACCTTTTCTGTCCTGACTTCTGCTTCCAGTCCTCTCCTGAATCCAGAGGCTTACTGAATGTTGAAACTGTGGGGATCAAGGGGGACCTCTGCCTTGCAGGGTGCTTTCAGTAACTCATTTCCCTGCGGTTTTGTTCCCCTTTCCCTTTCTGCCACTCCACAGGCCAAGGGAAGTGGCTTAGCCTGGCCCAGCCTCCTTCCTGCCACCGTCCCTCCTCGCCTCCTGGTTCCAAATAGACCAAAGTCTTCGGGTGCTTTCATCTGTGAGGCTGCACTCTTCTCTTCCCTGCCTGGAAGACTCTGGAAGGCTCTGCCTTGTCTTGATCTTCAGGTCACTCTACAGTCACCTGTTTAAATCCAGCTCTGGGCTCTCCTTGATTCAGACATCTTTTTTGTGATAGTCCCACACCTGTCTCCAGGACACTTCTGTCCTTTAGGGCGAGTCAATCATTGCTGCACTTCACAACAATTTTCTGAAATTTAATTGTATACATCTTGCATATTAGACAGCAAGTGTCTTTAAGGCACATGCCACTTCTTCATCAGACTGGCCCCCAGAAGACGCTGAATATCTCTAGCAATAATAATAACAACATGACTTTATTATTTACTATATACCAGATGCATTCTAGCTATCTTAAAATAATTAATTAATTTAACTTTAACAATATTTTTTAACATATTCCCTGTCTTAACAAACAAGGAACGTGAAGCATTCAAAGCGTAAATGACCTGCCCACAGTCCTGCAGCTGCTATGTCAGAAGAGGTGAAATTTGACCACACTGTGAGTAGCAAACACAAACTCTACAGTTGTAGTAGGTCAGAGGAGGGAGATTTCACTGTGGGTTAGAAAGGTCCTGGGCAGTGAGCCAAGTGTGGGCTGATGGCAGCTTGGATAGGTAGAGGGGAGGGAGTGAAACGTCTTCCCTAGGGTCATCCAGCTCTTGGCTCTCAGGTTCCTGGGAGCAAGGGGATGGTTTCAGGGTTCACCTCAACTCCCCCTTAACACACAGCTGCTCTGAACAGGAGCTTTACATGTGAATAGCCTGTGTTTGAGAAATACCCAGTCCTGATCTAGTCAGGAAACAAGCTGCAAACTCAGAAATCAGAGCCAAAAGGAAGTGCTGTGTGGTCTACAACTATCTGCAGTGGTTAAATGGGAACGATCTTTCCCCAAGTAGTTCCTCTTGAGCGGAGCATTTCTGCTGGCTCTAGGACTTTGGCCATCTATAAAGCTTAGCAATGGAAAATCAGGAGATTCTCAAGGAGGAAGAGTTCTTGGGCAGCATCACAGGACAAGCAGCTTTCCACCAAACCAGGTTACTAGCGATGGAGAGCTTCGAAATCAATGGTAAAGTATCTCCTCCAGTAATGGAATTGGCCAGTTAATTAGTCTGCTCTGGCAAGACAGAAGAACATACAAGTCAGTAGATGGTCTGTTTGCACTGTTGCTGCATGTTGCACCTAGTTCTCATGCATACATGTCTAGAGCGCTTCAATCTGGAAGTCCTGGAATGCTAACAACAGATGCTGTATCTTTATGTAATTCGTTTGTAGTTGGTTTTATTAGCTTCACAATTCCTTTAAATTGTACAAATATTTTCCCTTGGATAAATGCCCATGCTTATTAAATGACTTTTTTTTTATTAGTTTCTTATTCTGACACATAAATTATGTGATAAAATGCAAGAACAGGGGGGCTAAAGAAGTTCCACAAAGCTGAAGCCAATCACCATAAACTTTTCATAATGCAATTCCTCTAAAACTCTTTAAGAGGATATCTGTTATAACTGATGTACAGAGCAGGGTGCTATGTCTCCATTACCTGCTAGTTAGGGTGTGTTGATGGCTTCATAATTGGTTTGCTTTAGCTTAAACCCAAGTTTTAAAAAATCGAGCTAACTCTGTTGTCTTCTTTTTCTTGCTCAGCATTGCACAGGCAAAGCATTTTTTTAAAAGTTTATTTTTTTAAAGAATTATTTTATTTAACTTTATTTATTTATTTTAATTTGACCAGAGAAGGTGGGAGGGGGGAGAGAAAGCCGCCAGGTCCAGGACTTGAACCATGGTTGGCCATGTGGGAGTCCAGCGCCCTTAACCACCACGCCACCTGCCAGCACCCAGGCAAAGCATTTTAAGTCTTTTAGAATTTGTAGCACTTAAAGTCATACATGGACTTGGTTCCACAGGTGAGTTCTGATTTCCCATTTTAGAACATTCTCTTGGAATCGTCTTCCTAGACCTTAATCATTCTCAATCTCAGGCTTTTCTACAAGTTGTATATGTGAGCAATGACAGCTCCGTCCCTTGGCTTTAGTATTCTTCTCATGCATCTCTGTCTGTGCTGGTCACTGGCTGGGATTTATGGAGGTTCAAAGATGCAGAGTCCAGGATTCTACCTTCATAAATTTATAATGCAGAGAAAGGCCTATGTGTGCATGACTGATTAATTGTGGGCTATTCAGAACTTTCCAGAATGCAGCATTGTGGGTATATGACTTCTAAAGATACTAAAAATATTTAGGAAAGTCCATTGAACAAACATATTCAGTCCCTTCTACCTGTCGGGCAATGGGCTCAGCAGAGGAAAGACACCATAAATAATCGCATCTCCTGGATTTGCGACATCTGCACTCATGTCAGGGTGGTGCAAGGGTAAGCCTTCCTATGAACTGGCCATTTCTAAACAATTCATCACTGGTTGTGATTGAGCTTTTCCCTGGTATGGGACCCTGGAGGTCAGAGCTGACACCTATTCTAAAGTTTAAAGGATTAGAAGTTAGAGAAAGGAAATAGTGCTTGAGGGGCGCTACATCTTTCTACTCACAAGAAATATTCAGAAATACAAATATCTCTACACTGTTGGGCCGGAATTAGGAGGGGAAGCTTCCTGGGGACTGAGGCTGGGACCAATACATTTAACCTTTATCTTCGGGACAGTGGTGGGGGCAGGGCTGGAGAGACTGATTTGCATTTGAGGTTGCTCATTCTCATTGATGGGGGTCTAACTGGGGAGAAAAACTGAAGGCAGAGAGGAACCTGGCAGCAAGAGATGAGGAGCAGTGGTGGTAAGGAAGGAAAGCAGGAAACGTTCTCCAGATATTTGAGGTTGTACCTACAAGATCAGAATGGTGAGACAGGGCAGGTGAGGGAGATACAAGAGTCGAGGGTGAATCCCAGATTTGGAGTGCAACGAACTAAAACTCTGACCAGAGAAACAAAACCACTCTACTTTGGATAGAACATTTTCCTAGGTGCATTCACAGTTTATTGTCTTCTCATATAAATACCGTGGAACATGGAACTTCCTAGAAGAGCTCTATTATGAATAGTAATAACTGGCAGGCTCTGTAACAAAGTGACCCATCAAGGCACCTATAATTAATAAAACTACTCGCTTCAGCACCAAGTGGCTCTGAGCATATTTATTTGTCTGCTGAAGATTGCTTTATTATTTATTGAGTTCGTTTTAGGTGTTTATACTTAGTTTTGTTTTCTTCTGGAAGTAAAATAAAAGCAATGTCTTCAGCTTTCCACATGCTGTTCCAAAAATCACACATTTGTAGTATCATTTTCTCATGTATTTTTCTCTAATGCTGCTAGTGTTGAAGAGCAATGCAAGCCAGATTGTGAAAGACAGGCATTGGACGTCCTCCCTTAATATATACCGAATGTCTGCACCCTGGGAGAAACTCAGAGATAGGAAGGTTTAATGGCAGGCGGGCAACTGTGGATGCTAGAGATAGCATAGGAGGGGGTGGGCAGTGAGGAGTGGGCAGGAGGGAGATCATGAAAAAGAAAGAAAGAAGCATTTAACAGACCCAAAAGTGAAAAGTTATCTGTTGATAATGTGTATGGTATTATCTTTGACTTGACTGATAATGCACTATATTCATGCTGGGAAAAACAATTGTACACTGTGAAGATATACAGTGATCAAAAGTAAATTTTAGAAAGTATAAATAAATAAATAAATGTTTTTCTCAGAAAAAAAGAAAAAGGAATATAAAATGTTGTCATTCTCCAATGATACATTCAGTTTGTTTTAATTACCCAGTGGTACCAGATTAGGGACATTTTAACCATATGTTATAGAAACTTTCAGAAGTGAGCTTGAGAAACTTTTGAAATGTAACTAGTTTTTTTTTTTTCTAAACTTAACCTAAAATTTGACAATTAGTTTAGATTTCACAAGATGTTGTACAAGCAAAATATACTTTGTCTCCACCCATTCATTATTTTATGACTTTGCAATTTTATCACACTCATCCTTGCTCTCTGGTCATAAGCACCCTTTCTTCCCTTATCTGCAATACAAGCAAGATTATTTTTTCTCAACTTTTTGGAGGTGTAGTTGACCAATCGAAATTGTATATATTGATAGCTTACATGCGGTAATTTGCTATATATAGCTATTGTGAAATGATTCTCACAAAGATTGTTTTAGTTTCCTGAGGGAACTTGACCTACCATGGCTCCTGTGGCACTTTCAACAAAATCTCAAGACTGACATCCACCCCGTCTCCCTCCTCGACAATGGAGCATGTGAGCTTTAATGAGAGAATTCTGATTTGTCCATTAGACAGTATCTTTATAAAGTGTACTTGTTTTAAAAGTTAGAAACGTGTGTAAGTTCACTCACTCCTGGCTAACTTCAAAACATTGTAGATAATAGCAGTTACTATTTCCAGGTTGTTATATTACAGGAAAATGTGTATATTGTGAAATGCCACATTGTTTACTTTAATTACTATAATGATGTAGAAAAGATTTCCATGTGGATTTTTTTAAGTCTAAAATATATATGCTGTAAACATTTGCTGCAGTACAAAGAGAGAGAGAGAGAGAGAGAGAGAGAGAGAGAGAAAAGGAAAAGGGAAAAGAAAAGAAAATTAGGAACCTTTGTTCGGGTCAAGTCTTCCTGTCACATGTCACGTTTGTGGATTCCCTCACCTTGAGGTCTCAACTATTTCAGACCTCACATCTTTCTTCATGATATTTCCCCCATGGTATTTTTCAGCCTAAAGAGCATTCTTCTTGACAAAAAAGACCCAAATGAAATACAAGTTAGAGGAACAAAATCACCCTAGTATATATGGAACATTTGTGCGTAGGTGGCCGTCGTGTGCTTTTTTGAGGTTGATTTCTCTCTTTCTTCCATGAGTGAGAGATATAGAAAAAGAGAAACAGCACTCTCAACAAGGTATTAATACCACGATCCACCCCCAGCTCTGTCATGAGTACACTGGTGTGTACTCAGGGAGGTCTCTAGACTCAAACCTGGAACCTTCCCATGTGGGTCCCCCTGACAGACCGTTATGTTTTACTGCTAAACCACTGCCTGGTCCCTGTGTTATTGTGTTAATAAACATTAACTATTGGCTGCTAGTAATTGGCCTCACTGTCCCTTTTTCCTGTTTTAAGGAAAGTCAAAGATACTTTTAAACGTTCTCCTAGTGAACCTTAACCCTAGCATCTGTTTGGTTTCAGTTTTGCTGATGTGGCTGCTGTCATTTCATGTAGTTACTCTGACTGTTCTTCATCAGGTCAATATTTCTCAACATGTTTAAGCATATGGCTTTACTGTAGTTTTACTCTTTTTTTTTTTTGACCCAAATGAAATACAAGTTAGAGGAACAAAATCACCCTAGTATATATGGAACATTTGTGCGTAGGTGGCCGTCGTGTGCTTTTTTGAGGTTGATTTCTCTCTTTCTTCCATGAGTGAGAGATATAGAAAAAGAGAAACAGCACTCTCAACAAGGTATTAATACCACGATCCACCCCCAGCTCTGTCATGAGTACACTGGTGTGTACTCAGGGAGGTCTCTAGACTCAAACCTGGAACCTTCCCATGTGGGTCCCCCTGACAGACCGTTATGTTTTACTGCTAAACCACTGCCTGGCCCCTGTGTTATTGTGTTAATAAACATTAACTATTGGCTGCTAGTAATTGGCCTCACTGTCCCTTTTTCCTGTTTTAAGGAAAGTCAAAGATACTTTTAAACGTTCTCCTAGTGAACCTTAACCCTAGCATCTGTTTGGTTTCAGTTTTGCTGATGTGGCTGCTGTCATTTCATGTAGTTACTCTGACTGTTCTTCATCAGGTCAATATTTCTCAACATGTTTAAGCATATGGCTTTACTGTAGTTTTACTCTTTTTTTTTTTTTTCACTTTTAACCTTTTATTGTGAAATAAGTATAGATTCACGGAAAGTTACAAAATATGTACAGGGACAGGTCCTTGACCCTTTTGGTAGTAACAGCTTGCATAATTTTTGTAAAATATCCCAGCTAGGAAACTGATACTGGAACAATCCACAAAGCTAATTCAGTAGTTTTTTATGCACT